GGAAACAACTCGACGGCACTTAACAACAACAACATAGGAAAAGTGAGCACCTTCCTTCTTGAGTGTCTTAGTCATCCAGTGCTGCTATAACAGAAACACCACAAATGGGTGACTTTAACAAACAGAAACTTATTTTCTCACAGTTTAAGAGGCTACAAGTCAAAATTCAGGGTGCTGGCTCTGGGGAAGACTTTCTCTTTCTGTCGGTTCTGGAGGAAGACCTTGTGTCTTCTGAGCTTCTCCTGGGTAATCTTCATGTGGTTTGGCATCTCTCTTCCCCCATCTCTGCTAGCTCACTTGCTTATTTAATCCTTTTTATATCTCAAAACAGATCGACTCAAGACACACCTACACTAATCCTGCCTTATTCACGTAACAAAGCCAATCCATTTGTAAATGGAATTATGTTGTGTTGTTATGTGCCGTGGAGTTGGCCCCGACTCACAGCGACCCCTCCTTGGGTTGCCGAGGCAGTATCACTACGGAAGTAGATTGCCCAACCTTCCTTCTGAGGAGTGGCTGGTGGGCTTGAACCACCAGCCTTCTGGTTAGCAGTCAAGTGCCTTTGGCACTATGCTACCATAACCACAGGCATAAAGGTCAGGAACCACAGCACATATTTTTTAGGGGCACAAATCAACTTGTAACATTCTATCCTTTGGCCCCCTAAAATTCATTTCCTTCCCACAAGCAAAACACATTAACCCATGACATTATCCCAAAAATCTTAAATCAACTCCAAATCCAAAATCTCATCTTCTAAATCAAATATGGGTGAAACTTTAGGCATATTTTGTCCTGGGGCAAAATCCCTCTTCATCTGTGGACCTGTGAAATCTAGATTACAAATTATCTATTTCCAAATTACAATGGTTAAACAGACACAAGGCAGATATTTTCATTACAAATGGGAGAAATTGGATGGAAAGAAGGGAAAACAGGCATCAAGCAAATAATAAAACCCACCAGAAAAATTTACATTAGCTCTCAAAGTTTGGAAATAATCCTCTGTTCTGTGAGACCATTTAGACAATGGCCTTGCCCTCTAGACTCTGGGTATTGGCCAGGTCCTCTGGATTCAGAGTGGAGGTCCCTTGGCCCTGGACTTCAGCTCTGCCTTTCAGGTCCACTAGAATGGCAACTCTACTCCCTCAGTTTGGGGTGGCCCCATTCTCCTAGTCCATCTGAGTGACAACTCTATCCCTTCAGGCCAAGAAGGCCCCATTTTTCCGCCCCTTGGGCATGGCAGCCCAGGCCCCTCATCTCTGGGCAGTGGCCCCATCCTTTTGGTTAAACTTAATGGCAGCCTCACACTCCAAAACTAAGTTGGTGAAGACCTAATTCCTTGAAACCTAGGTGGCCATGGCTCTACCTTTTGAGACCTCAAAGCCGTGGCCCCACCCTGTGAGACAGAGGTAGCTCTACTTCCTGTGCTCCTTCCAACAGTTCTGATGATTTCTGAACTGCTCCAGGGATTCATTTCTTTTTTCGGAGGACAGCAGATGTAGTTCCTTTGGCCTGCTTCCTTCCTGTAGAATTCCAAGAGACACACAGCATTCTTTCCTTTCACTTTTTCTCTGTCCCCTACAGTCTAATGGGTTTTCTGCTGTGACAGTTGGTTAGATCAATAAGTCAGAGGCTTAGCCTCTTTAACAAAAGTTTATGTAGCCACATCCTTGGCAAAAATTCTAGAATATATGTTCTTAGTTTGTACAATAGAATTTTCCAAATCTTTAAGTTTTGTTTTCATTTTGCATAGTTCAGTTTTAAATGCATCTCTTTCTTCTCACATTTTACTTTAAATGTCAAGTAGAAACCACACAACCCTTTTAAGATCCTGCTTAGAAATATCCTCAGCCAAATATCCAAGCTCATCACTTACAAGTTCTACCTTCCACCAAACATTTGAACATAATTCAGACAAATTCTTTGCCATTGCATAGGAAGCTCCGTTCTTCCTCCAATCACATTCTTTATTTTCTTTTACAGCCTTACCAGAGACATATTTAACATCCACATTCCTAGCATCATTCTGTTACTGGAGCCATACATATTCTCTAAAACAACAGAGACTTTCTCTACACTTCTCCTCACTTCTTTCTGAGCCCTCACCAGAATTGCCTTTGATGTTCAAAATTCTACCAAAGGCTCTTCAAGGCAATCTATGTATTTACTATTAGGCACTTTAAAACTCTCCCAGCAGGGGGCCAAGAGGGAGCGTTTGTTTATTGGGCATTGAGTTTATGCTAATGGTGGTGGAATATTTTGGAAAAGGACAGCAATAATGGTGACACATCATGAAAAATATCACCAACGTCCCTGAGCTATAAATGTAGAAGTTGTTTATGTTGGTGAATGTTTTGTTCTGTACGTTTTCACCACAATAAAATTTAAACAAACTAACCCAAGTCTTCCAGCCTCTACCCATTACCCAAATCCCAAACTACTTCCACATTTTGGGTATCTGTTACAGCAGCACCCCATTCCCAGTGTCTTAGTGTTTTTGTTACCTAGTGCTGCTTTAACGGGACTATACCACAAATGGGATGGCCTTAAAAACAGGAGTTTATTTTCTTACAGTTTGGACGGTTTGAGTTCACAGTTCCAGGCTCTAGGGATTGGGTGAAAGCCCCTCAACCCTGGGTTTCAACTTTGCCTCCTGCTCCCCACCCACTGAAGCTGGAGGTTTTCTTCACTCAGGCAGCTGCTGGCTGCTGAGGCTGACAAACCCAAGGTTGACAAGTAAAAAGGCATAGTCCCAATATTACCAAACAACACAGCAGGCCACTAATTCAAGTCCATCGAAAGTCCCAAGATCAGCAGACCATGACAGGCTGCTGAACAATGACTCCGCTATATGCAGTAGCTGCCATAAATTAGAGACCATTCCCAAAGCCGCTTGTTATACACAAGAAGCAGACCACATCCCTAAAGCAGCTACTCAGCTGCTTGTGGTAGATCCACCATGGAGTTGATGGCCAGTACCATCATGGGGAATAATGACCACCAGCTGCCCAGCCACTCAACCAGGCCCAGTCAAGTTGACATACAACCTTCATACCACACTTAGTTACCTAGTGCTGTTATAACAGAAATATCACAAAGTGGGTGGCTTTAATAAACAGAAATTTATTTTCTCACAATTTAGCAGGCTAGAAGACCAAATTCAGAGTGTCATCTCTAAGGGAAGGCTTTCTCTTTCAGTTGGCTCAAAAGGAAGCTCTTTATCTCTTCTGCGCTTGTGCTCCTTGGCAACCTTCACGTGCCTTGGCATCTCTTTTCCCCCATCTCTGCTTCCTTGCTTGTTTAACATCTTTCATTTCAAAAGAGGAAGATTCAAGACACACCTACATTAATCCTGGCTCATTAACATAACAAAGACTACCCATTTCCATATGGAATTATAGCCACACACATTAAAAATGTATATACATAAAAATAAAAAACACCAACTGCCATCAAGTGGATTCCAACACATAGGGACCCTATACGTAGAGGTTAGGAATTAAAACACGTATTTTGGGGGAAAACAACTCAATCCATAACATAAGATTTAACCTTAGCAGTTAGAAGCTACAGATCCATCTGGAGTGTAACTCAAGAGAATTCCTTAAACCTTACCTGATTCTGCTTTAATGTGGACACCAGTTTCTGTAATGTGATATTTTCTTCTTCTAGTTCAGTATAGTCCTGAAGAAGTCGGGCTTCCCGGAACTTATATTCTCGGATTTCATCCTTCATTCGTATTCTCTGAAGTTCTACCATCTCATTGCTCTGAAACAATAGAATAAATAATTAATGCAAAATTTTCTTATTCTAGATTTTATGAAGTGGAGCTAAAGTCTTGGTAGATAAAAGGTAATAATAAGAACTTCACAGAGTTTAAATCAGTACAACCTTCTTGAATGGCAATCTAATGCTATCTATCAAAAGTTTAAAGGCATATGACAGAGCAATTCCACTTCTAAAAATCATTCTTAAAGATATTCTTACAGATATAAACAAAACAAAAAATAAATCTACATATGTTGTTGTTGTTGTAATGTGTCATCAAATCAGCCCCGACTCATAGCGACCCCTCCTTGGGATTCCAAGGCAGTATCACTACGGAAGTAGATTGCCCCAATCTACTCAGTAGATTCCTTCTGAGGAGTGGCTGGTGGGTTTGAACCGCCAGCCTTCTGGTTAGCAGTCAAGTGCCTTAGGTACTACACTACCAGAGCTCCCAAATCCACATATACTTACACAAAACACAAATAACTAGAAACAGTCTAAATGTTTTCTATTAGGGAACAATGGGAGCTCTGGTAGTGTAGTGCCTAAGGCATTTGACTGCTAACAAGAAGGCTGGCGGTAAAAACCCACCAGCCACTCTTTGGAAAGAAGACTGGGCAATCTACTTCCATAGTGCTACTGCCTCGGAAACTCAAGGAGGGGTCACTATGAGTGGGATCTGACTTGACGGCAGTGAGTTAGGGGAGCAATTAAATAAATTATCATGTATTAATTGAATGGAACATTATAAAATTATGAAAATGAGAAAAAGAGAATAAGGAGGAGTTTGATGTACTAAAATGGAGAGCTATATACTTTATTAATATATAAAACCAAACCAAAAACCAAACTCACTGCTGTCGAATTGGATCTGACTCACAGTAACCCCTCCTTGGGTTTCTGAGGTGGTATCACTACAGAAGTAGATTGTCCAACCTTCCTTCCAAGGAGTGGCTGGTGGGTTTGAACCACCAGCTTTCTGGTTAGCAGTCAAAATGCCTTAGGTACTATGCCACAATATATAAAGCAGGTTATAAATGAGCATGCATAGTAGGATCCCATTTGTATTAAAAATAAAGGAAGGCATATACGTACACACACACACACACACACACACAAGTCACAAATTTGTCAGAATATCTAAAAACTGTCAATAATCATTATTTCTAAGGGCGGGGATTGGGCCATTCATAGGGAAGGAGAGAAAATGCCTGTGTGAGTTTTATAGCCTTCTGGATCATGTGAAGTTTTTTTTTACAACAAACATGTACCACCAGGTCTTACGTGCAAAAGTAAAAACCTACTGTCAGAGTTGATTCTGACTCAGATAGACCCTATGGGACAGTAGAACAGTCCCATAGAGTTTCAAGGTTGTAAATCTTTATGGAAACATACTGCTTCATCTTCTTCCAGTGGAGTGGCTGGTGGTTTTGAACTATGAAATGCTTTAACCACTACTCCATCAGAACTCCTACATGCAAAGGTATAGCATATAAATAATACAATTAAGTAAAATATCCAGCTTTTTTCCTAAAGTTGTATAACAAGTATAAGCTATGTTTTAGTTCAAAATATATAATGACCTATAATAAAATAGATGTATACATTTGTACATGTAATACATTTACAATAATGGAATGGAATATAAACGTGTTAACTTTTTTTTTTAAAAAAAAACCTCAAGATTCATTAGATTTATTTCCTACTCAAATAAAGATAAATTTGAAGGAAAAGTACCAAAACCAAAGATCACATTTTTATCTTATCCAATACTTGTTGTTATTATGTGTCGTCGAGTCGGACCCGACTCATAGTGACCCTTCCTTGGGTTTCCGAGGCAGTATCACTACCAAAGTAGATTGCCCAACCTTCCTCCTGGGATGCAACACTTGGACATCCATATTTAAAAAAAAAAAAAAAAAATGAATCATGACCACATTTGACCCACAGGCCATAGTTTGCTGACCTTTGATATAAAATTATGGGGGGTTAACAATGAATAAACTACTGCGAATTGCCATGTAGATTAATCTCGCTGATAAAATGTCGAGTGAAAGGAGTCAGGTATAAAAGACTACAGGATGGATGATTTCATATGTATAAAATTCAAAAACATGCAAAATCAATCTCTGGTCATTCAAGTCTGTACAATAGTTACCTTGGGATGAGGGGGCAGTGACATCTGCAATCATGTGAACAATTTAAAAGGTCTCTGTCCTAACAGAAGACCCACCCTAAGATAAAACCTGACTGTCCTGTGTATATTTTCAAGCTCTCCTCATTCTGCTTCACTTTCTACAGATCTTGACCTTAAATAATTCCCTTTGATTCTGATTTTTATAATCATCACTGTCTAAACATGGTGATTTTCTCTACAGACTTAGTCCCTAAGTACAGCTCTCTCCTGGTTCTGCTTATGCTTACGTGGAAACAGCAAATTTTAAACCCATAATATTTAATGTAAACAAAGAAAACTGTGAGCCCCATATTACTGATTTAGTTCTGAGTAAAAAAAAAAAAAAAATATTCTAAGAGATTGCAGAGTCTAAATAGTAGTTGCTAGTTGCCGATCTCAGGATGGTAGCAGCTGTTGTTTCCAGGGGAAAGACAGAAAGTCACTGTCAGATAAGTATGAAAGCTGACAATGTTTGCAAGTCATTTGACTTGGTGATAGAAATATAAATCTTAACTTCTGCAGGGCAAAGGCTCTTTCAACATCAGATTTATATCTATTCTGTATCTTCTCATCATAAAAGCTCTCTGGCTAGACTGTGAAGAGTTCCCTGGAGATGCCCAGACTTCATATATTTAATGTACTCTCCTGTGGAATGTAATTATCAATCCTGAGGCTGTACAAACTAACTGGCTGTCTTAGAAACTTGCATGCAACTTAGTATGTACGACATCACTTGCTCATAGGGGTTTGGGCTCCTTTGTTAATCAGAAAGCTTTCTAGACTGCCTGGCTTTTCTCTCTTTGGCTCTCATTGTAATAAACCACTCCAATAGAGTCATCTCCTCCTGCTTCATTAATTGATAATTAATAACTGCCTATGCCCAGTCTGAAGCTTCATTCTTTTCATATCAATGCTGACCTCTTAAAGGGGTGCTACCCTGCTATGGGTCACGTGTTAAAACAATTTGAGAGAGTTCTGAAATTACAGTTTGTTCAATGTCTTCAATGATTTTCCTAAATAATAATAATAATAATAATAAAAAAATACATAAATGAAAAGGAGGGGATGGGGTACTTATACTGCTTGTTTTTCTAATGAGGATTATTTTAAGTAAATATGATCAAATTGATGAAATATTAAATGTTGGTACATAATCCTGTTGGAATAAGGTTTTACTAGCTCTGGAAAGCTACTGTCCAAGTATTCTTTACAAGCAACAGGTCCTGATATCACAATGTTGTTGTTGTTGTTATTTGCCGTCGAGTCGGCCCCGACTCATAGCAACCCCTCCTTGGGTTTCCGAGGCAGTATCACTACGGAAGTAGGATTGCCCAACCTTCCTTCCGAGGAGTGGCTGGTGGGTTTGAACCGCCAGCCTTCTGGTTAGCAGTCAAGTGCCTTAGCCACTATGCTACCAGAGCTCCCTGATATCACAATAGACATATGGAATACCAAAGTTTCATTAAGTCAGGTAGGATAACCAATGAAAGTTAGCAAAGACCAAAATGGCTGAAATGCAATTTGAACACAATACCCATTTTCCGTGCAGTGGGGAATCCCTCTGCAAATTTCCAAATCTTCCAAATAAGGTACATGATCTGGGCCTGCTTCCCTTTCCAACCACTCCTCCCACCCCAATCACTCTGTTCCAGCCACAGCATCTTGTTTCTCCATCTTGCCAGAGAGTACAGTTTTCTCCTCCCTTGAAACTTTTTCACTCTTTTTTCCAGAACTCTCTGCCTTCAGATCTGGGGTTCTCAACTTTGTTTTGTACCACAGCCCTCTATGACAATCTGATGAAACCTATGACCTTCTTCTTAGAATAAAGCTTTACAGGGTATAAAATAAGAGACAAGACTACAAAAGAAACCAATTATTATTATTATTATTATTTTTAATTGTGATTTGGGTGAAAATTTACAGAGCAAATTCACTTTCCATACAGCAGTTCACATATACTTTGTCTCATGACATTGACCACAATTTACCACAATGCAACAGCTCCCCTCCTACTTCCTCCCAAGAGTTCTCTTCCTTGTGTCCATCTCTCCATGCACTCCTGCCCCCCGAGCTATCTTCCTGTGCATAAGGAGCCCTTCTTTCTCCCATGCTTGTTCTCTCCAAGGAGTGTATCTACCTCAGGTAAATGTTCAACTCATATGCCTGTTTTTTGTTTGCCTGGAAGCTACAAGTGTGGGTTCAATTCCAGACCTGAAGGGCAGCTAGAAGCCATAGTCTCAGTGGTTCCACCAGGCTCTATCAGACCAGCAAACCTAGTCCGCCCCCCCCTTTTTTTTCTCCAAATGATTCTGAGTTTTATTCCACATTGTTCTCTCTCTCTATCAAGGATCTCCTACATAGATCCCCTTCCAAGTGGATGACAGTGGTAGCTGGGCACCATCTAGTTCTGGTCTCATAGTCTTATAGGCTGCAGATCAGATGGTGTACCAGTTGGTAGGACTAATTGTTTACATGAATTTTTGGTTTTCTTCATTCTTCTTTGCTCTGGACGAGGAGAGACCCAACGCTGCATCTAGATGGCAGCTTGCTAGCTTTTAAGATCCCAGTCGCTACTCGCCAAAGTAGGAGGTGGAACAATGTTTTGTATAGTATGTTATGCCAATTGAGCTTGATGTCCCCTGAGACTATGGTCCCGAGCCCACAGGTTCAACTACTTGGTCCCTCTGGGTAGCTGGCTGTGACCAAGCAGTGACTACAACCTTGCCCCTTGTCAGCTCTACCATATACCTGGGAATTCAGAGAAACCAATTATGTTAAAATTAAATTATTAAACTATTTTTTAAAATTATGATATGGTAATTGG